AATACTGTGTATGTATACACACACACACACACACACACACACACACACACACACACGAGATGGATGAACTGATTAAAAACAGAATTGCGAGGACAGAGGAGCAAGAGGTGAAGGGAAGAAAGAGGATAAATAATGAAATAACGACACGGGACACAAATACAAAGAAAAAAGCAATGAAAGAAAAGAAAAACAGAGATATGATGAAAAAGAAAGAAAGCCACAAGGAAGGCTGGGGAGACCATGAATACAAGCCCCAGAGAAAGGGAAAATGAAATTGTATACGCCAGCTGAGATTCGTCCATTCACCTCCATTTTTTTTTTGTTTTTCTGTCAATTTGTGGTCATGGAGGAACATTGTTCACTACTCGTGTTCCCTGCCCAGCTCACTCCTTTTTCTATTCCGTCTTTCATACCAACTGTCAATTTGCTGTCTTGTGAAAGGAGCAGAGCCGTTTTCTTCTCTTTCTCCTGTTCTCTCGGTCTCCTTGAGAAAGTATGCTGTGAAAAGAACTGATCATTGGGTGGCACTCAAGCTGCTTTTCTGTCTCCTGATCTCTCCCGTCTACCTTGCTCTCTCTTTCACTCGTTTCATTTTTTGGCCTCTCTCACATACTCCCTCGTCTTCTATCATTTAATTCCATCTGAGGATGAGGACTGGTGAAGATACTTTCTATTTTTCTTTCCTCCGTTGTGTTGTTGAGTGCTTTCTTTGCTATTGTGTCCCACTAAAAGACTCATTACCATCCTTCCCCTTTTGCTGAAAGTGCTGTTTCTGTGAATGATGGGCTGACAGCCGGAGAGATAGAGAGCGGGTAAGAAAGAGAAACAGAAGAAGAGATGTCATTCATGTCAATAAAAGCAAATTTTTCTCTCTCTCTAAAACCTTGGTCTTGTTTCATGGAATGGCAAAAACACCAAGGCCTTTTAATGAACATGTGGCACCGGACAAAGGCATGATCTTGGGCTGCACACAGACAAAGAGCAGTGTGCCATGAGATCACTGTGAATCCATCCTCACTACTCATCCATCCATCCATAATGTCTGTACCTGCAACACATTCACACATCCATGCATCCATTCATCTCCTCATCCATCAGCTGTGTGCATCCGAGCCATCACGTCTCACAGCCATACATTCAACTATATCTGTCCTCTTTCAAGTCCATCGGTCCACAGCCGTCCACACAAGCTTTCACATGTCACTCCTCTATCAATCCATCCATCCATCCATCCATCCATCCATCCATCCATCCGGCAGTATTGCTTCATTCCCACACAGATAAGCATGGAGGCTGGATGGTGTGCAATCATCTCTCTCTCTCTCTCCAACTCAGAAATGATAGATCTCTCACTTTTCGTTTTCGACAAATGGATATTACAGACCTTAGTGGGTTCCTCCGCCTATCCAATCACCCACTCTCTCATTCTCACTCTCTCTTACGACGCTCCTCTGCATTTTCGATGAAACGACAAAGCTCGGACCCTATCCTTCTATCAGCTATCATGCACCTCATCACGCAATCTCTCTCTCTCTCCTGGTCCTTTATTCCTATGTTTTTCTCTCGCTCTCCGCCAAAAGCCTGTAATTATAGAGCATCTCTCTGCCTTTCCCTAATCATTCATTCATCTCACATACAGCTCAGTGTGTGGTGGATTCACGCAGAGACTCGTAGAAAATAGATATCTTCAATCTGTACAGGCCAGCCACCAGTGTGTATCCTTAGATATGTGTGTACATTGGTATGCTAGTATCAGGTATAACTAAACGCATGTGTGTGCATGCATACTGTCAATCAGACCTGTTCACTTATAATAAGAAATGCTGGACACACGGCTGTCAAGGACATCACATATACCAGAGGGCTGTACAATAAGTGTGTCTGTGTTGCAAATACTGCTTTGTTTCCAAGCCATTAGGTCACTTATCTTTGAGCACTGTGCTCCAGTGCCACTCTGGTGTCATTAAGAGCTGACAATGCTGGTCAAGGACTATGGATTACAGATCATCAGCAGCATCACTGGAGATCACTTAATATAACAATATGTTAATTGACAATATGCTGTGGAAAGCAGAGACGAGCATTCATTATTCTATTTTTTTTGCAAATCCTGATACACCACTGTATTTCAACACACACTACTCTGCCACTGCATCTCATCTCCACAGAGTGTTAAACAGACACAGAGTGATTATGTGTCCTATCCGGCTCTTGTCATTATAAAAAGATTGAACAAAGTAAGTCCAGATATCTACTTAAATTCTCTTCTGGAGCACATTAAGGGTGGAAATGATGACCGGACCTCCACTTTCCTCTTGATATCAGGACATTGATCAGACAAGGTATTTACAGTACAGACAGTGTGTTTTGTCAGTTTGTGAAAAACATTGTGCATAACAGTATGAAGAGTGTGTGTGTGTGTGTGTGTGTGTGTCTGAGAGAGTGCATGCGTGATTGCATCAACCCAAATAATATTACAGCATGTTGTGTAAGAATGTCATAGAATGTTAAAGGAGTGTGAGGAAACAAATGCAAGTGTGTGTATTGGATGTGCTGCAGACTTTATGAGGCAACTCGTTTTACAAGGTCTAGTCCCCACAGCTGAACTTTTCAGTGCTGAGTGACGTACTGCTTGGCTTGTTGTGAGACCGTTTTTCTTATCGCATTTTCTGCCTCCAAAAAAAATTCTCTCTCTCCGCTTGCTTTCCTCTTCATCAGTGTCTCCTCTCCTCTCTCTCTCCTCTTCATCAGTGTCTCCTCTCTCTCTCTCTCTCTCTCTCCTCTTCATCAGTGTCTCCTCTCTCTCTCTCTCCTCTTCATCAGTGCCTCCTCTCTCTCTCCGCTTGCTTTCCTCTTCATCAGTGTTCTCTCTCTCCGCTTGCTTTCCTCTTCATCAGTGTTCTCTCTCTCTCCGCTTGCTTTCCTCTTCATCAGTGTTCTCTCTCTCTCTCTCCGCTTGCTTTCCTCTTCATCAGTTCTCTCTCTCTCTCCGCTTGCTTTCCTCTTCATCAGTTCTCTCTCTCTCTCCGCTTGCTTTCCTCTTCATCAGTTCTCTCCCTCTCCCCTCCCCCTCCCTCTCTCTCTCTCTCTCGCAGTAAAGGCTGATGGAGTGTGAAATTAGAAAGTGTATCATATTCTGCTCTGTGGCTCCATGTCCTGAGCTATAAGCTACAGCTAGTCGGAGTGAAAAATAACATGCAGTGAAACAGATACATTAACGTGTGTGTGTGTGGTGGAAAGGAAGGCAGAGGACAGTTTAGCCAGCTACAGCTTATCTTAAATTACTTATCTCACGCCTGATACACTGGGGCTTTTCCACAAACTGCAGCGAGAATGGATTAAAAATGTGGACACAAACACACACACACACACACACACACACACACACACACACACACACACA